AACATCCTTTCGTACGACGCTGAAGAAAAGCAGCAGATTGCCACAAACTTTATGCCGAGATTCCGTGCAGAAATGCTTCCTTTTTTTGTTTGTGAAGAGCCAAAATGAAACCATCTCAGACAGCTTATTTACAAGTTAACAATTGCTAGCTCCGGTGTGAATAAAAAGTATCATTTCCCTCAAGCACGAAATCAGGAAAACTCATGAAAATTGATGTCAAAACCCTATCGCGGTTTTATCAATTTTTACCATCAAAACTTAAAACTAAAAGCTATTGTTAAATTCTCGTAGTATAAAAAATCGGAAAAACAAAATTTTGATAAAGGAAACACGTTGCCTGTTTGAAGGTTCTTTCTTTAAAAAAGTCAACACGCTCATCTTCAGAAGTAAAGAATAATTAAAGGAGGCAAAGTAATCTCATTGACAAAGTAAATTTGTCAATGATCAATACAAAGAAAAATTATTCTTTATCACTTATTTTTGAGGATTTTGTTAATTCTACGCTACCATCATATTATAAATTCCAATCCGACGAGTTCCACTTTGTGGTCTGATGGCCCTAATTTTCACAGAGAAAATTAGACTGAATTTTTTTTCAAAACTCATCTCTCCCAGGAGCCCATCATTTAGTAATGGGCTCCTGGTCTCTCCTGATTATGGACGGATTCCGTGCATTAATGCTTTCGTCTTTTGGTTTCAAGGTCAGACAAAAGTGAAACCATTTCAGACAGTTTATTCAGACGTTTACAATTACTCGCCAAGTCGCTCTAGCCAGAATTGATTATTTTGTGTATAATTAAATTTCCCTCACGACGAGCAAGGTAATCGGCAAGACGGCCGTAAAATTATGGTTAGGACTTAATTGTGGGTTTATTAATTTCCGTATGGAACTCTTAAGAAAAAGGAAAAACTATTAGTAAATTTTACCAGCTTCTGGGATCGGGTGCAGGCACTCAACTTTGATTAACACAATTGCTTGAGAAGGTTTACGCTTTCCGGACGTTGTACACACCCACACGTAAATAGTCAGTAATAAGGGAAGAGACCTAGCCTTATTGTAAAAGTTTGTCTTGAGCAATGATTCACGCAAAGGGAACATTTTACTTCCCAGTTCGCAGTCACTTTTGAGGATTTAAGTTGAGTCTACTATATCATAATTTTCACTCTAATCCAGTCTCCACTGGTGCTGCGCCAAAGTCCTGATTTCCACAAAAAAGGGGATTTTGATTCAACCAAAACTCCGTCATCGTTGAGTTTACTTCAAGATACTCAAACTCTAGCTTAACAGTAGTTATAGTAGCTTTGAATTTTCAGTCTTCGACTGAAATTCCATTTTAATTTCAGTTTTTGTTCTCGTCTCGTTTAAGGCATATTTCTGATTTTAAGACACAATTTTTTTGACGGAGTATACAACACTAAAGCTTCTTGTGAAAGAATGTCATAACTCATATCGTCATTTCCCTAAGACTCTCGACGATTCCCGGCGAGTTCGAGAACGATGTACGACGTGACAGAGAGTTGTAAAGACAAGAACATGCTGAAAAGAAAAACCTAAGCCGGAAATTAAGAAGTCTCACCCATTCCTCTCTCATGTCCCGTTTTGCGACAATTTATGAAAGTAAAAATTAAATTAATATGAAAAATAAATTCATATTATTTCTTTCAACATGAAACAAGCTCACAACTCTAGCGTCACATGGAATAAATCTTCAGTCCGACCTTAGAAATGCCAAATATTCATTAACATTTGATGGAAATGTCATGAACCTCCGGAAATGAAAATCTTGCGGTTATTTTTCGCAAAATATTTATTTTGGATGGGAACACGAGGGGATAAAATAAGGATGTAGAATAATAATTTACAAGAGGAGAATGTTGTGCTGATAACTACACGAAATATGCACGTCACTTGGCGGAACTAAATTACAATACGAAAATGAGACATGAAAAAAAAGAGAATTGAAGAAAAAGAAACGAGGCGAAGATTCATGACTCTACGATGTCTTGATGACACGGAAAACGGACCATAAAATAACCAAATGTCGCAGAACTAAGCGGAAATATAATCGAGATAAAATTTGTGCGCTAATTTGAAACATTAAGTGACTGAAAGGTAAACGCCTAGATAATTAACGACACACACATATATATAGGAATGCACGTAGTGGAAGACCGTACGAAATCGGGCTTTGTGTTAATAGTGCATCTTCACAAAACATCATGTAAACATTTTTTTTAGCTGAGGGTTAGAAACACAGAAGAATATAAACCAATTGACATTTGATGTAAAAAGATTATAGATTACATGCTTTTCAGGCAATTAAAAAGGGCGACTTTTGGTTTAAATGTTTGTAAACTTACCTTCAGATCAAGCTGCGAAGTCTACAGCTAACAATAAAAAAATATATTGAATAAATACAAAAACTGGTAGGATAATACTCCTTACATTCAGACACGCAAGAAGATTGACAAACGTGAAGTTATTTTAGCGACAATTGTTAAATAGAGATAGAAGCAATCCGATAATCAACAGATAAAAGCTCTTTGGAAAACGGCTGAATCATAATAAGGCGTTTATTATCACTATCCCTACCTATTGGCTATCAAACATGTGGTTGATCCTTTTACTTCTAAGAGTGACTGGCTTCTAATATCTCTTTACATTGTCGCCATTGAATCAAATTTAAAAGTCATTATCAGTACCACAGGAAATGAAAAGAAAACAGCGTGGAGTATATGAACACTTAAGTTAGCGTGTAATGGCCTAGGGTTAAGGAAGTGATATTCAAATTACAGATGATGCGCTCAATCGACTGTGGTACATTCGGTTGATACGAAAATGAGTGTGACAGCGAGAATAAGAGCGATGGCTTTCACTGAAACACCGACAGTAAAAGCGTTTAAAACCTCTATGAGTGTCGAAATTTTGTGAGTAAATCTAATCCAAAAACACTCGTGAATGTCTTTTCCATGGCGGTCCTCTCTTAAACACGAAGGCGCGCTATAAAACGCGGTGCCTTAGGTACCTCTGGATCATTTGTCAATCAACCGTCGTGGCATACAGAACTCCAAAACAGCTTGAGCTGCAGACAATGCAAGGCACTGACCAGAGGCGCATTTTTCGGTAAATTTCTCCGTTTTCATCAAAATGGAAGAATTTGTTGAGGTTTGTATTACCTTCCTCCGAACGAAACCGTCTTCATTTGTGGCGGTAAATTTGAAATTCGAAATGATTCGCTTCGCCATCGCCTAAAATTGCCATGGCGTAATTTCATGTCTGTTTCCAAATACTGGATGTAGATGACTGTAAGAATAAAAAGAAAAGATGAAGAAATGTTCAAGGCATTTCTTCAACAATGCGAAGGGGAAGTGCTGTCAACCCAGCGGAAGAAAAATAGAAGCAGAGCGACTGTTGCAGGCGAAGTTCTGGAGCGCGCGAGTGAACCGTCGCCGACCACCGATTCACTTCAACATGTCCAGGCGTCGATGTCGCCAAACGAATCATCTGTACAGGCTTCCTCCACAAATGGTGCGATTTCTTTTTCTTTAATCTAAGTATAATATGATTACAACAAAACTGGATGATCCTTGACCTTTGGAACAATATATTAGAAAGATAACTTAGGACTACAGTTCGTCACTAACAATCACTGTGATAATGTATCACCAAGATTGAAACACTCGCGTGACGCTATAATTTCTCAGAAGTAACTAATCGCAGAGTTTTTACAAACTAGGAAACACTAGTTAGAATATACTTGCAAACCACAGATTTTTTCGTATGATGCGACAGTTCATGTCTTAGACTGCTTCCTTTTGATGCCTTCATTTTCCGAAATGCAGCCTTGCGTGACACCTACAAAACGTTTTGTCCTGCCTAAGAATGTTTTGAAAGGAGTTATTTCTTTAGAACTACAGGTTGTATTTATTGCAATATTTTATACTACACCTTGGGCAAACGTGTCAATGAAACATGAAAAATGTTTATAAAAATTGTCCAAAATAAAATGCAGGTGGGAAGACCAGTTGTTCGATCATATCAGACTTCATGACTGTTCAGTTACGCTTTCGCTCTAACAGTTGTTTTACTTTGTCTCCACAATAGCTGATGCAAGAGGGGACGAGTTCGAAATGTGTATTTACTGTCGGCAAACGCCATGTGTAACGACCGACAGTCGCGAATACCTTGGCTATCGCGAAGCACATATTCAAAATCACGTGCGACGAAGAAAAGATTACAAGACATACTGGAGAGCATTGAACAAATGTGGGCTCTGGAAAGACCCTATTTATCAGGCTAGAAAAGTCGAACTGGGGGACCACGTTTATGCTGTGCGGGAAAGGATGCCCAATTGTGTTATAAAAGATGTGAGGTCAAGGTTTCCTAACCCTCATGGTATTCCATATATGGGGCATAAAAGGGAATAATACAATTCTCATTCAAATGCCCACGTCAAAGAGAGCCCAAGTACCAAATTGTTTATGGTCCATTTTACAATGTCCACACAGCAAATTATAGTGACTTTCCTATAAGTTAGGAAAAGATATACAGTGCAGAGAAAAGTAACAAGAGGAAACAGATAATGAGTCTGCTTGGAAAATACCTAGTGTCAAACCTAATACTCATGTTTTCATCACTTAGTACCAGCAGTTGGTAGAATTGGTCCTCCCTAATGACCTCACATATTTTACAGGACATTTGGGCTCCTAGTTGTAATTATCACAGAAACTGTGGTGCGATGGAAAACAGATGAGACATCATTTGTTTATATTGATTGAGGTAGACCAGATAGTTTCTCTGAAATGAAATGTCTTTGAAGTAAGCACCTTGGTCTCTGCCAAGCGATTTGGATGCCTGGCATGTTGGTATATCTGTAGAGACGATGCTTCTCGATTCACATTTTCATTCTGTAAGACAAATGAGTCAATAAGCACGAGAAAGCAGTGAATCCAAAAAGTGCCAAAGTTATTTTAACGAATTAACAACATAAGTTTCTTAC